GGTTTCACCGGCCCCGCTCCGCCAGGCCAAATATAGCGTCCTGCCTTGGCCCACCACAGGGCAGGGGAGGCGGAGGGGAGCTGCTGCCGTGGTACAGACCCTCTCCTGCACAGAGCAGGAGGTGGGCTCCCATAGCCCACAGGGCAGAGCAAGGCAGGCTTCCTCATCTCCCCAGGCTCCCATCCCAAAACTAGCTGGATTCTGAGCAGGGCACAGTCTGCCACATCCTCCCCACATCTGGGCAGGGGTTGATGGCTGTTTCAAACTCCTTTATGTCATGTCTTTTCATTCCCGGCCACAGGCAACCAGCGCGAGTGCCAGGAGAGTTGCAGGGTGGCAGGGAGGTGCCATGCACTGGCTGGCTGTGTTATTCACCTCCAACAGCTGTGCACATGCCACACGGCAGAGGCAGCGGCCTCGCTGCTGTCATACAGCTGCAGGTAAGAGCATGGGACAGGTCCTGAGGGCAGGGGTGGGCAGGCAGTGCTGGTGCATTTGCATTAAGACATACGGCAGTTCCTTGACAGCTCTGGAGGGTTGTGCACCACGCCACCCTCTCCCGTGCAGCTCAGCAACAGTGTGAGAGCAATCAAGGCACGCAAACCCTGCTTGTACCTGAGGGGCACAGCGTGCTCTGTGAGCCCCTGCTGAAACAAGAGCCTGGCTCCCACTGCACCCAGAGCCAGCCCCAAACTGCAGGGCCAGGAGGCTGAGGCTATGCCCTGTAGAAGCCTGCCGTGCTGCACAAAGCAGGCACACGTCTCCCCTCTAACAGTTAGTCATGCCAGTGACCAGGGTCATGGTCGCACCACATTAGAAGCCCAACATTTACTCAGAAAACTTTATTGTATCAAAATCCCACCTTACAAAAGTGCAAAGGAGAGTGGCTTTAGGCCCTATGCCTGCCATGCAGCAGGGAGAGCAGGGCCAGCAGCCAGCGCCCAACGCCCTGGAGCAGTCAGAGGAGTCAGCCATCTTCCAACAAAACCAGCCTTGCTCTGTGCTGCCACAGCGGTAGCGAGTGGGCTCTGCCACGCCGTGATGCTGGCACAGACTGGTGCATGAGGAAACGTGCTGTGGGCAGCACGAGCCTCTGCCATTAGCAAATGACACGGACAAATGGCCCCAGGGAGTAGGAAGCAAGGCAGCAGCACAAGGTCCCTGTCTCCTTCTCAGGCCAGCTCGAGGATACATCCCCGCCTACCACAAGTGACATGCTGGTGCAGTGCAGGAGAGGGGCCAGCTCTCAAGCACTTTCTTCCCAGATGCCACATCCTCACCCCCTTTAAGAACTCTGCGTGTGGGATAAAACATTGTGAGTTAACCAGAAACTGAGTAAAGTGACTCTTTACAAGGAACCGAGGGGGAATTCCTTCCCCTGCACCATCCTCCTGGGACATTAGCACGTGCCATCCCGCTATGCACAGCTCCCCAGTGTCACTGGTTCTAGCCATTGCCAGTCAGGAGCCGGACCAGTATGCCCACCAGCAGGACAGCGATGGCAGCGGCAGCAGCCAGCATGCGGCGGATGATCAGGGCCCTCCATACCACAGCGGGAGGAGCAGGGACGACAGCAGGCACCTCCTGTGTGATGAGCTGGTGGTCAGGTTGCCTCTCACCTTCCACAACGCTCTCGGGCAGGACCACAGTGTCCGTGTCAAGGGAGATGTAATCTGTGTAACAGAAAGGTGAGTGTTGCAGGGAAGCTGAGCTGCAAAGTCAGGGGATCCCAGTCTGATGCTGCACAAGCGCTAGTGACAGTCCTGAGGGTCCCTTCCCAAGGCTCAGGGACACTGGGACGTGCCGCAGCAAAGTGGCAGATGTTCCCAGGTAAGGCAGACACCGGCTGGCAGTCCAGGCTCTTCCCTGGAGCAGCCAGGGTGGTGACAGGGGTAACAGGGTATCTGGTACCCCATTAGTAAGTACAGGAGAAGTGCCACTGGCCTGGGACCAGCACCAGACATTGTGCTCTTTCCAGCCATCTGGGCCTGCAGGACAGACACAGCTGCTGTGACTGTGAAGGAAGGGTTGGGTGGAGAATTTGGGCTCCCTCCCTGTTGTCAGGCCCGATTACATACCCACAGCCGATGCTTTGTTAGCAGCTGTGCCATCGGAGTTCACATCTTCCAGTTGTTTTTTCAGTCCAGCTCGAACTTGAGCCTAAAAACACACGGAAGAGTTGCTCTTCTCAGAGCAAGGATGTCCTGCCCAGCCAAGGAAAGCTGAGCCTCTTCCCTCCACTCTCCCAAAGCAAGCATGCTCAGCACCAAATTGCTCCAGGGACAGATCCCATTTCACTTTTGCCTCCTCACAGAGGGCTGTGGCATTGTACTGGGACAGGAACTCACCTAACACCTTTTAAGAGTTACTAGGGAGAAGCACAAGTCTCACCTCTTCTGCAGCTTTCTTCCAATCCATGCGCATGACAAAAGTGGAGAAGGAAACGGCTTGCAGAGAGATGCAAATGATCATCCCCACCCACAGACCTGCAGCAATGGAAAGTTACTTCAGGGACGGCTTGAGGAAAGCCTGCTTTTGCCAGCCACTGCCACAATGCCCAAGCACTTCAGTGGGGACAGATTATTGCCCCATGTCTAACCCAGTCTCGATGGGAGAGCTGCCCTGAGGGGCTGCGAGAGGAAACAGATCCTGGGGGGGTCCTATGCTGGCAGCAAGCCTGGATTTACTGGGACATCTCAGCCCCCATTTGATGGACGCTACTCAGAACCTGCCTCAGATAAACACTTCAGTGTGCAACCCAGCCCCACCAAGCCGAAGGAGGATCTGAGCACAAGTTCCAGGGCTGAGCCTTTGCTCAAGGCACAGGGTTTGGCCCAGCAGAAGCAGTGCTGGCAGCTCGTACAAAGCCAGACTCCCGATGCCAAATGGAGGACACACGTACCTAACACCCCCATCTTAGCCGCAAACATCAGTGAGACGCCGATGGGCAGGCCGATGGCATAATAGCCGATGGCGTTGGCGATAGCACCCATCTTCTGCTTCCCTGTGCCCCGCAGCACACCGCCGCAGGTCGCCTAAGGAAAGCAGGCAGAGGGATCAATACATGGGACAGCGCGTGCTATGGAAGGTACCACCACAGCTCTGAGGTACGGCGCAGCCCCGTGAATAGGGGAACCCACAGCACCGTCCCGCAGAGCCAAGAGGGACCAAAGCCACATCACAGAGCACATGGTGCAGGGCTCCTCTCGTTCCAGCTGCCGACCCAGGTGCAGGATATGGAGCTGTCTGCAGACACTGAGAGGTGTGCCAGCAGACCCCATAGCGCTTTCCACGCTGCCTGGGACCCTCTCCCAGGGACATGACAGGAGGAAACAGGCTGAAATTACTATCTAACAAGTGGTATAAGCACTGCTGCTATGCTGCAAGTACCTGATATCTCTGAACATCCAGCTGCTCACTTGTGCTGCTCTGGCAAGCTAGTAAAAAGCTGAAGCCTTGCCAGGGGGAAAAGAGGGAGAAAGAACTGGGTGGTTCTGCAGCAACGCCAATGGGCAACGACAAGCACAAGGGACACTGAGGTGCTATAGGTAATGCAGGCAGCTGCTTTGACAGTTTATCAGTTTGCTTCTCTGTATCGTTTTAGCAGATCAAAAAAGAGCTGGAGGCAGCTTTGCACTCTCCATTGCACCCCAACCTGCAGAGAGGAATCGCTCCACATACTGGAATACTCACTGCTGCTGCATCAAACAAGTGGAATGGAGCAAAGATGATCATCACTTTGGACACCAAGATAACGATCTCCCTGTTGGGAAGATGTACGTACTGGTCAGGGAAAGCAGCATGGCCTGGTCCCAAGGGACTCTGGTTCTGACATATCTCCCTCGGCCAGCTACAAATCCTGATCCCAGCCCACGAGACTTGAGGGGATGCGTGCAGCTTGGGTACCACCATGGTAGTGTCCCAGTGTCAACAGCATCCGTGCTGCCCAGTGACACTGGGCAGTGGGGAGGAACCTTTGGGGAACATGTTTGCCACACAGAGGTTTATGAACTCTGTCAGCAGCTTCTGAGCAGCTCCTGGGATATAAATCACACCCTCCAAGAAGGTAATAATACTCAAAAGAAAGCCGTTGACCCACTTGTCATTGGTGAAGATGTATCCCACCACATCCTTTAGGGTTCCCAGTAATGTTGCAACCACAACAGCAAAAACTTCTGAAAGAAAAAGAAATAATCAAATTGCTTGCCTCAAGGGCAGCATGTCCTGCCCCTTTATTCCCCTCTGCAGGACCTGGGCTGACCTGTGCACAGCAGGGCAGTAATGCAGGAGGTCTTGGCTTGCACCACATCCCCCGATCCCAAGGCATTGCCCACTCTGACACTCGCAGCCACGCTGAAGCCTAGAGGCACCTGAGTAGCAGGAGACAAGGAGGTGGTGAGTGGCAATAGAGCCTGCAGCAGTTTTCTTCTTCCTCAGCAAAGAATTTGGAGCAAATTGGCATTGCTGCAGTAAAGGGATTTTCCATCTGCAGCCCACCCCTGGATGTGCAGCTGCACAGCAGGCTGGAGAGTCATCACCTTCCTGGTACCGACTCCTACTTCCCTCCCCAGCCTTGATCTGCAGGACCATTGTTTGGGGGCTCTTCCCAGGCTGATCTTGGTTTAATACACTCAGCCCTTACCATGTATGCCGCAGAGGAGAGCTCGTAGATGACAGACTGCGCGCCCAGCTCCACCACACTGAGCAGCCCTGGAAGAGATTCATCACTTTCTTCATTAGGTCAGAATTAAATGCCTCCTTTGCTGACAAGGAGGCAGTGACTACAGGGTTCCCATCTAACAGATGCAGCATCCTGCAGAACCAACCCTGCAGGCGAGGAGGCTGCTGGCAGGAGGTGCTCTGGGGACACACTCAAGAGGCAGCCACCAGAGCAGGCACGGCTGGAAGACAACCTGTTGAACCAGAGGAAAAAGGGGATTGGGACTCACCTGCCAAGAAGCTCCCAATCTCAAAGGTCCACCATTCAATACACATCATGAGCATGCTGGGCACCGCCAGCCAGATAAAGGAGCCCCAGTCCAGGAGGCAGTCCCTGGTCCAACCTGCAATGAGGAGGTGAAGCAAAATGAATACATGTTCTCCCTCTCTTCCCCCAAAGGGGAGCCATGTGCTCTTCTGGACACTCTCGGAGGACAATCACTACTGCAGCTCACAGGACACTGGTCTAGTCTTGGTGCTGTACCATGCTGAATTCCTGAGACAGGATGATCAACAAGAATGTACTTGGAGCTACAGTAATGGGCTTGAGGACATGGCTACAGCATCTTCCTGCCATGAGGGGACGGTAATCCCTTTCTCAGGTGCTGGTGACAGTGCCAAATCCCCAGGGCCAGACACTGGGGATTTGAAAGATTAAGCTATGAACAGTACCTCCCCAAGTTTCCACGTGGATCTTCTTCCACCACACGTAAAGGAAGAGCAGAATGGCCTGGGTGTACTGAGAAACAGTGTTAGCCCAGGCAGAGCCCCTGGGGAGAGAGACAGGCAGATTACAAATGACATCCTCCCCAATCCCCTCAGCTACAGCAGAAGAGACCTGGTGGCACCCATACAAGCCTTGCTGCAGATATGGGGCAGATCCCTCCAGCCTTATCTTTGCAGGCTAGTTGGCTGGGTGCAGAGGGTGGCAGAACTGGGCACCCAGCGCACACACCCCCAGCCCTGAGCAAACCCCTGCACCCAGGGAGAGGCTGTCACCTCCTCTGCTCACACTTACACCATGCCTAGCTTCAGCACATATAGGAAGAAGGCGTTCATGGCCACATTGAGGATGTTGGCTGCAATCCCCGTCAACACCTGAGGCAAAATGATCGCCTAGAAGCCAAGGAGAGACTTTTCAGTTTGCTTCCCCAACACTGCCCAAGCCCCATCCGGCGAACACAGGGGAGACCTTCAGCAATGCCCAAGGAGAAAGGCAGCTCCTGTTTCAGGTAAAGCTGGATTGCGTTAGACGTGCAGAAGGTAGCAGGGCTCAAGAGCTGGTGCAATCAATAAAGTGCAGACTTGGGAGGTAGCAATGGGGAAATGGAGCAAACTAAGCGTGGTTCCCATGAGCTGTCCCTGCCCTGCAGGGCTGGCTGAGGGGCTGTGCATCACACATTCCTCGGCCCAGCTCTCCCCAGAACAGGATGAACTTAGATCCCCAACTTTATCCATGTTCCTAGGAATACCTTTAATCTATGGCCCAGAACCTGGCTAGTTATACAATACCTGACTTAGTAAATATCTTGTCTGCAGCTGGTACAGAAACGCCGCCTGCAAAAGTCAAGATTCATTTCATCAGCACCGCCGCACTATGGTTCAACAGCCAGCTACCATTTAACACTCACAGGTAGGTCTTTCCCTCAGCTCCCCGCACCACCTTCTCGGGGTGCCCCAGCCAGGCATGCTGCCCAACACCCTGCTCCTGTGGTCTGGTTGAAGCGTGGCATCTGCCAGCACTGGCTGCACCCAAAGCCAAGAGTAACAAAAGGCACCTCCCATTCCCACTGGGAAGAGAGATCAGTCTCCAAATGGGAAATCTCCTATGCTTCCTCATCAGCACGAGAGAGCCTGGAAACCTTGGAAGAAAGGATTAACCTACAGACCCTTATTCCCCAGGGGTACTGCTCCCTGTCTTAGAGGAGTCAGAGTAACTACCCAAGAGCCCGGCAGCTAGGAGCCTGTGCGAACAGCAAGCTGCAGCCTTTATCTCAGAGCTAAGAGTGAGCCCTGGAGCTCCTGGATCCAATGTCCATCACCAGTTACGTGTTGTGCAGCGACGTGGCCTGCGGTAAAAGCCTTTGCGCAGTGAAAGCCTTTGCGCAGTAAGATGAAAGAGTGCATGTTTGCTGGTCCAGCAGCTGCTGCCAATACACATCTCTTAAGGCCCAAGACCAAGGGGCATGTTGTAAAACCCTAAACCATGCTGCCCTGTGATCCACACAGCAAAGACCTTCCCTCTTTTCCCTTAATGTTACCGGGGGATACAGAGCTTCTAACAGCTTTAGCAGCAACTTACAGGAAGCGCTGGAATAAAGATCATCACGTAGACCTGAGTTAACCTGGAAAGAGAGTTGTTTCTCCAGTTAATGATAGAGCAAAGCAAGAGCCAAGCCAAGCAGCGTTGCACTCAAGCTCCACAGAGCCTTGATTTCAACACTACACAGCCAAATGCCTGATCCAGAAGGGCTCGATCTCACCCCTGACCTGGAGACCTCGGGGTCCTGTCCGATGAGCAGGAGGATCCGCTCGGTGTTGATGAAGAGCGCCCAGCAAGGGAAGCAGCACAGCAGTAGGATGAGGATCCCCCGCTGCAGGATAGTGCCCACCTGCTTCAGGTTCTTGCCGCCATATGTCTGAGTCAGGAGAGAAGACCAAGGCAAGCGTAACAGGGAACCAAACGGTCTGGGCAAATGCTCAGGACTCAGCGCAGCAACAGGCTGATTAAATGCATTTCCCACGCCCTGCAGTGGCTAGTGCCAGGCTGGCTGGGCTTAACTAGCTCTCAGGTGGATTGCACACCCCTTTGCCACCCATGGACGACTCAGGGCTCCTTGGGGGAGCGGCAGGGAGGGAGCAGGCTCCAGCCAGTGCATCTGTAACCCCCCCCGCTCGGCTGCACCCCCCCCGGCTGGCTGGAAGCTGCCGTCCTCCCACCCTTTGTGCCCAGATCACACTGCACAGGAGGCGAGACACCACCAATCGAGCCCTGTCAGGCACAAGAAAGGGGGAGCTGCTACTGACCTGGGACATCAGTGTGTCGCATGCTGAGGCTAAACCAGAACCGATGGAGATGCCTGTCACATTGATAACCTGGAGGAGAGACAAGGGACTTGGGTTGCAAGGGAGGGTAACAGGGGACCTGGCCCAAAGCACTGTGTCCCTCCCAACTGGGTGGGGAGACAGTTCTGGTACAAGTTTTTGGGAAGCTTCCAGCCCTTCTCTATTTCTCAGAATAACACATTCTTGTTACCTAAATAGCCTCTTCTCTCCTCTGGTGTGGAAAAGGATCCTCTAGCAAGGGGTAAATATCTAAAGGACCACAAACAGTGCTGCTCCTAGCCACATGCACACCCCCAGGTCTGGTGGGTCCAGAGAGCTGGTCACAGGCTCCAGCTCCCTGCCAAGGCGCTGGCCTTGCACTGGCGCAGTCACTGACTGCTCAGTTCCCATCTCCTGCCCGTGCTCAGGGCAAAAGAAAGAACGGTTTGGTGGATGCGATGTTTGCATTGCATCAGGCTGTGCTTACGCACAGGGTCCTCACATATACATTCCTACAGGTTTTGGTTTTTTCCCTTCTTCTTTTTTTTGGTGACACATAATTTGTATGTTTTAAATCAGAGCAGAATCAGAGTAATACATACGGAGACGGCCAGCGTCACAGCATCCAGCTCGGCTTTCCCCAGGTGACCACAGAAGATGGAGCTGACCACGCTGATCAAGAAACCCAGCAGCTGGGCGACAAACTAGGACGGGAGGAGGAGGAGACGGTGGGATGAGAACTGATTAGGACTCGAGGAACACCACTCCTCCCCCAGGCATCAGACTATGAACAGTCGGGTTTGCTGGTGTCACCGCAGCGCCTCGCCTCAAGGCCAGGGCTCTGCTGTCCTGGGAACCCGTCCCTGCTCGCCAGCACTGCTGGGGCAGAGGAGCCAGCTCCAGGACTCGCGCAGGCTCTCGGTGGCTTTCTCTTTCAAAGCAGACCTCTACCTGCCCTGGGGTATTTTGGTGTTATGCAGCCAAGCTGGCAGATGACCTTGTTTACATGGAACTTAACAGCTTCACTAGAAATCCTCTTTTCCAGGATGAAAGATGCATGGAGAGGGAAAATAAAAAAATCCCAATGCTTTTCTGCACCTCTGCGCATCTGGGGAAAACTCTCCTCCCAAACTGCAATATCCTCGCCTCCTGGAGAGACACCAAGTCCAGCCTGCTCATTCCTTGCCAGAGGCTACAGCAAGGCTTAAGGATACTGTAGCAGAGACTGCACTCCAGACCTCATTTTCCCTTGGCAAGAGGATGCCCCCTCTACAGGCCTCCGAGGCACAGCTAGAACCAGATGGTAGGAGTTAGAGATGTTTATACCCGCTGAGGGGTGGGCACAGCTGGGGACCGTGCCCAGGGTCCACTCACCCTCCTTTCTACCCAGCAGTTGGCAAGCCGAGAGCCCAGCACGCTGCTGGAGAACCAGCTCCTGTGGGGTCAGAGGAAGAACAGAACAAAACCTTCTCCTCTCCAGACCTCCCACCGCTGCCTGCAGATGCAGTCCTGCTGCCAGGCCCGGGCATGTTCACCCTGCTGTGAGTAATCCCCAGGAGGGGCCCATACCTCCACGATTGTCCCCGTGCAGGGTTTGACATGAAATGAGAATTAACTAATGACAGCTGTAGGTTTGGTTTTGAGGTTAGCTGTGCACACAGAGAAGCAGGCTGTGCCACAGCTGGAACGGTTGAGGGGACTGAGCTAGGGCTGATGTATTCAGCTACAGAAACCGAAACCCGTCTATACTTCCTCTGCTGCCTGATCACAGCAGGTCAGCGCTTTGATGTCAGGGAGGACGCCTCTGAGAAGTTCATCAGTTGGTACTTATTTACCGGATAGAGTAGAAGATTCGAAGCACAAAACTTCACACACAATGGATTTAGACCAGGGCTGTGGTGCCCGCTCCCCTTTGCGGAAGCCTCTGCAAAGGGTGCTCAGCGCTGCACCACTGGTCCCTGGCTACCAAAGGATGCATCCCCCTTCCAGCCAAACGGCAGTCCAGGGAGGATTTCAGGACAGTGAGCCATCCAGACAGACAGCCACCCAGTCTGCAAAGGAGCCCAAGGAGCTGGCGTCAAGCGAGGCGACTTGCTTGTCACCCAAGGGGTACATGTCAGTGCCAGGGCTGCAGAATGGTTTCACAGAGCAATTTAACAGCTTATCCCCCCCTCCCCAAATCCACTGCTGCCCTTTTAAAGCCTTGCTGCCAGGCCCTGCCGGAGCAGGGCGCATGGATCAAGCTGGACAGCAACAGGAATTCCTGTGGCAAAGAATAAGCGCTTGGATGACAATTAAGGAATGAATGGTGGCGGTTTAATCCTAGCTGTGCCTTCAGCAGGCTAGCAGGCATGGACTGCAGGAGGGAGGGACCGGGCCGGCCCCTGTGCGGGCGGGGAGGGGAGGTGAAACCCGGGCTGCAGAGCCGTGCCCGGAGGCTGAAGGGAGGACGAAGCGGCG